CGTCTACCTGGGAAAAGCAATACAGGCGGAGAAGGGGAGAGCACCTCTGCTATCCGGCCGCAAGGGGATTCACCCAAACCCATGTAGCGCCTGGCAGAAGCGGCGAGCGGCTGGGTCACGCCTGCTGGGAGGGAAGAATGAGAGAAGAAGAAGGAAGAGTCCAAGAGAGCCTCACCCTCATAGCTCATTTGGGGACGCGGCCGCCCTGCCACACACGGTGCATGGGGAAGGTGTCCGCTGAGGGCCTTAGGGAGGACCTCTGGCCACCGAATGAGGCTCTCAGCATGCTCCTGCCTTCTTGTTGGTGATCCTGTCCCCAGGTTAAACATAGCCAGGGTCTTCTCAACCTTACAGCGCGATGGGACGATTCCTGGGCCAGTAATGCTCACTGCTGTGGGGGCTGCTTCAGGCACTGTGCGAGCACAGCGGCACCGCCTGGGTCTCTACCAGGATCATGTCTGTGTAGCACCGTTCTCCTAACGGTGGGCAACAGGAAGGAGGAGTCACTCGGACGTGGCCAAATGAGAAGCACTGATTGAATCTTACTCCTAGGCCAGGCATGGTGCCTCACGCCGTGTTAATCCAGTCACTTGTGGAGGATGACATGCAGAACCTCTGAGCCATGAGTTCAAGGGACCAGCCTTGGGCAGCATAGTGAGGACCTTCTTTACAAAACGTAAATAAATAGCTTGCTGTGGGTGATGTGGCCTGTAATCCATGTTCGTTGGTTCAACTGATGCTCGAGGATTGCTTGAATCTCGAGAGGTAGAAGATTCAGTGAAGCTATGAGTTGCAGCACACGTAATCCAGCCTGGGCTGCACAGTGAGACCCTGTCTGCAAAGGAAAAAAAAAAAAAGCCAAAAAAAAAAACCCAGGAAACTAAAATCCATTGCCCAGAAGAGATATTACGTTCCTTTCTAGGGACCCACGAATGGATTGTCTGTATTTAAGATTGATGCAAAGCAAACTGTTAAACATTCAGACCATCTATCAGGAGGTTAAGATTACAAAGGAAAAAGCGCATCGACCCTGACGTCCAGGGCTTCCCAAAGCAGCCTTGGGGGCCTACCAGGTGAGCAGACATAAGGAAATGAGGCCCAGAGAACATCATAAAGGGGTGACTAACACCCTGGTTTGCCTGGGATTTCCTGGTTAGCGCTGGGACAGTCCCTCTGTCCTTGGGAAGCCCCTCTGCCTGGATGGGCATCAATGGGGACAGTGGTTGTGGGTAGGCTCCTTTCCTATTGGCAGATCGCATCTGCCTTCTGTGTTGACTTTGATTGCGCCTATGGTGTTGTTGTCATTCAAGGTGGTTGTTGGTGGGGATTGCTGCTTGCTTGTCGGATTCTTGCTAGATGTGGCGGGATTGAGCCACTGGTGGATGTTGCTCGGTTGTGCAGCAGTGTGAGAAGGGTGACTTTGATCAGGGTTCTCTCGACTGGATTTAAGAGAAAGCTATGTAGATGGCGCCCAGGCTGATGGGTGTAGCTGCCATATGTCTCTGTTATTTGTGAGGAGAGCTATATTGTGTATATGTCTTGTGTGAAGCAGGGAACTGTCTCCTGGCCTTGCTTGCTTTTATTTTGATGATATGTGTCTGTGTCTGTTGCCGCTGTGTAGGACGCCAGGATGGGTTCCATGGGTACACTGGACTCCACATGCTGAGAACTAGGTGGCAGGGACGGGTGAGGAAGGCCCAGCTGTTTGCTGTGTGTGTGGTGTGTGTTTTTTCTGTTTTCATGTGTGTGGTGTGGTGGTGTGGGGTGAGGAGGTGTGGTGTTGTGTGAGTCTACTGAGATAGTTGTCCCATTTGTCACCTGGTTACTAGTGTGAGGCTTAGTGACTTCATCACTTCATGACGCTTCTAGGTCGTTCGCTGAAGCTCTTGGTTGTGTGTAATCTGCATGTGAAGGTTGCCGGTTGGGTTGAGGGTTGTGTCTGCTCAAGGCACTCAATGCTGTATTTGGGATTCGTTTTTTGGTGTGTCTGTTGCTCTTTTGTTTGTCTATTTATGACCCAGATATCCATTTTGGTTCTTCTATATAATCTAAGCCTGTGTTCCATTTCTGTTCACTCAGGAGATGCTTGCACTATCATTTTGCTACTTTTTTTTTGTCTTTTGCGCATTATGGTTGCAGTGTTTTGTTTGTGTCTGATTTTGGTCTTTTGTGTTTACATTTTTATTTATAGTTATCTGGGTCGTGTATTTTCTTGTTATGTTGTATGTATTTTTAAAGTATTCTTCTTTATTTTGGATAAGGAGAATAGATTCTTATGCTTTTGGTTTCACTCTGTACTTTCTTCTCTTTTTTTATTTATTATTATTATAATATTTGTTAGATAGTTCGATTACGTGTACTGTCTCATTCATTCTATGGTATAGGAGTTTTACTGGTTGTTTTATTCTTACATAAAGAGGATTTGTATCATTATAACATTTTATATCCATTTACTTTATTTTTCATTTGGGATGAGGCCTGCGTATCATGAATAGTTTCTATTATTAGTTTATTCAAGCATTTATGATATTAGTTGTTCCTAATTTTTTTATTTTGACTGTTTATCGTTTTTTATATTTGCCTTCTTCATAATTGTTCCTTTGTTATGGTGAGCTACTACTATTATACAGGATATTTGTTGTTTTGACTTATGTTTCTTCATGTTTGTATTGGTTCTTCTCTGTTTCTAACTCTCTTTGTGTGAGATTCACACTAGAAAGTTGCTTTGCCACCTGGCACAGGTGAGGCTGTGACTCCTCCTTGCCCTCCATGTCACTGAAGCTGTGGTTGCAGAGGTCCCTCGGGGCTTGTGAGCTGCTGCAAGCACTTCAAGTCTGGGGACCGTCTGTTTCCTGTCTGCTATTTATGACCCAGAACATTGTCTCTAGAACTAGCCTGCACTTCAGTCCCACAGGGAGCATGCTTGCCACTCATATCTGCCCTGCGCGATTTGCAGTTTTTGTTTGTCTGAAATATAAACTTTTCTTGGTTCTTTAAGTTTTAAAGAAAAAAGTATTCTCTTTCTTGAAGGAGAAAAGATTGATTTTTTTCCTCCTTAAATTATGTAGATAGAGATATGTCTGCACTTGGTTAGTCTCATGTGTACCAAAATGTCATTACTTATAGGAGAGCCTGAAATTTTCAAGAATAGTAACATGGTAATTTGTCTTTCAAATACTGTTTTACTTATAGCAGCAATAACAGGAAATGTGTACTATTTTTCAGTGTTATAATCTGATTCACCCTTTGATATAAACAGCTTTATCTCATCTCATTGTTTATATCACATTCCTATTCCTCTGGAAAGAACAATATTTTTCTCTCTGAAAAGTAATATATTCTTGTCTAAGGATGGCTTAAATAAGTAACAGATGGTCCTTTTTGTGTGAGTG